TCCAACCCCCAAATTGTAAAAAGGTGTGTTTGGCCTGAGCACACCTACCAGCTCCACAATTGTAACAAGGGAACAGCGCACATTGCTTCTGCAAAGTGACATCATTCAAATACTTGGTGGCTTTTTGGATATGCATACCCTCGATAGCCTGAGCAGTTTCACAGATGTTCCTAAAATGAACACGAAGATTTGAACTTCTGGATTTGCATGATTCTGTGGGGTTTTCTGTATCAAGTGAATAGCAAACCATTTTCAGAGATCAAGCTGGAGGCTTATGATAGCAGTTCCATGCCTGACACTTGGTCCCAGACAGCCTTGCACAGGGCTGAGGGTGGTGACTGATGGGGTCCCCATCTCCTCGTCCCTGAATCAGCCCACCTGCTTGGTGTTGCCTCGCACCCTGCCCTCTCGACACTCTTCTTTCTATATCCTCTGATCCTGTATTTGCCCTGAAAATGTTACTCACCCAGATATGAACCACTTTCTGGATCTTCTTCTCCTCTCTACCTCTTTCCTGCCTCTTTGCCCAAAGCCATCTCTGTTGTCTTGTTGTACTAAACCACATCGACTAATGGCTGCATCCTTTCTCTCGGGCTCCCTCCACTTGGTGGGCCAGGTGGTCCCTACAGCGCCTCCACCTCTAAACTTTCACGCGAGTGTTAAGTCAGAGCCCCACACCTCACTCCTCTCTTGGCCTCACCCCCTGTCCTCCTTGTACTTGAACTCTAACACTTCACCCCAATTCCTGTCCCTTGCTGGGGCCCCCTCGCACCTTGGCCCTGCCCTTCAGTCATGAGCTCGCCCCCAACTCTCCAGCCCTTGCAGGCTCCCGTGTCCCCACAAGGACCCCCTCTCCAGCTGGAGAGCCTTCAGCCTCCGGGTTGCACAATGGCATGGCATCTGAGCTGAGAGCCCCGAGAAGCTCAGAGAAGGAGAGAGGGACAGAAGTGTTTGTTTCCCCCACCCTACTCACCCCCCAGCTGCCACTTTAAATATTTGCCTAAGCCTCTAGCAGCAAGTGTCCTAGGAGGAGTGAAAGAGGGGGTGGGGGCTCCAGGGAGAAAGGGGGAAGAAGCATCCTCCTCTCAACTGTGCGCAGCTTCAGCTGCGTGCAGGTGCCAGATGCAGGAGACAGCCTGCCTGCAGGGCCCACCCCTGCCCGCCCCAGGGCCCCCACTCCCGCCCCTGGTTGTCCTGGCAACACTGGGACTGATTGGCTGACTCACGAATACTGGACCTGAGCCAGGTGGGCAGCGGGCCAGCGGGAGAACCAAGGAGAATGGCAAGCATCTCGGGGGTCCCTGTGGGCATCTGGGGCAGGGGGCGCATAGTCCAGCTGTGGGGCTTGTTCTGAGCAGGTGCTGTGCTTAGGGCTTGCCATCATCCCTGGCTGCTGGGAAAGGGATCTCTTCCTTGGAAGGAAGCCTCTGCTCTCTTGGGTCCTCAGTCTCCCCTGCAGGCTGCCCTTAGACTGTAGTTCTTACAACTTTGTTTTTTTCTTTCTTCTTTCTTTTTTAACTTGTTTTTGCCTATTTGGAGGTTGGGGAAGGAAGGGTGATCTCAAGTTTCATAAGGGAAGTTCAGATGCTGGCACTGACCTGGTAGAGGTTTCCTGTCTTCCTTCTCAGGAATGGGGGCAGGACCTTCCGCTGGGCATGCATGGCTGTCACCTCGTCCCCCACACCAGCCCTCTGCTGCAGGCTTTTACATTTTTGGCCTTTACTTAGACCATTTCTCCTTCCTGGAAAACGCACCTTCAACGCCTCTTTACTTCTCTGAATACCACCGACCCTAAAAGGCCAGGCAAGAACCAATGACGCCTCATCTGTGCTCACCACCCCAGCCTGTGGCGCCCCCTCCCTCCTCCAAGATCGCCCAGCCTTCCTGATGCACTTTCATCTGCCACTTAGCAGGCACTGCTGTCCCCAACAGCTACATGGTTTTTTTTGGTTGTCTTTCTTCCCAGAAAGCCTGCCGGCCCTGGGACCAGCCCTGAGACCGTGCTTTCCTGAGGCTTCCCTCAGGGCAAGGAGCATGCAGGCAGCCAACATGTAACTCTATTCAATGATAATAAGACTGTCACCAAACGTGGGGGGGCTCCTGGTGAGGGGTCAGTAGTTTATGCCTTCAGTATGTCCTCAGTGCTTCACTGGCCAGCTCAGCTCTGGGACTTTGAATAAGTCATTCTGCTTTTCTTGGCTTTAGTGTGTTCATCTGCGAAATGGGTCTAATACAGCCTGTCCTGTCCCCCTCTCCAAGCTGTTGTGAGGATCCAATGACATCACGATGTGAAAGTCCAATCTTCATGACTATCATCATCTACTTCACCGCCAGGGCACCTCTTCTCAGTAGCTAAGAATAGGACCCAGACGGAGACTTCCCTGGTGGTCCAGTGGTTAAGAATCCGCCTTCCAATGCAGGGGACACAGGTTCGATCCCTGGTTGGGGAACTAAGATCCCACATGCTGGGCCTGCGTGCTGCAACTACTGAGCCCATGCACTCTGGAGCCCTCATGCCATAACTAGAGAGAAGCCCTTGTGCTGCACCAAAGAGCCCGCGCATCACACGGAAAGATTCCTTCCCAACAAAAGATTCCGAATGCCACAACGAAGATCCCACATGCCGCAACTGAGACCCGACACAGCCAAATAAATAAATAACTTTTTTAAATGGTCAGAAATTGGAAGCAAAATTTGTGGAGCTTTAGGGCTGGAGAGTATTCTTTAAAAAAAAGAAAAAGAAAAAGAAAAAAAGGATAGGACCAGGGACTTCCCTGGTGGTCCAGTGGTAAAGAATCCACCTTTCAATGCAGGGAACGCGGGTTCGATCCCTGGTCAGGGAACTAAGATCTCACATGCCACGGGGCAACTAAGCCTGTGCCACAACTACTGAGCTCGTGCGCCTCAACTAGAGAACTCATGTGCCGCAAGCTACAGAGCCCACGCGCTCTGGAACCGGCACACCACAACTACAGAGCCCACGAGCCCTGGAGCCTGTGTGCCACACTAGAGAAGAGAAAACCGGCACGCCACAACTAGAGAAAAGCCCGCGCGCCACAACGAAAGATCCCGCATGCCTCAACGACGATCCCGTGTGCCGCAACTAAGACCCAACGCAGCCAAAAATAAAAATAAATAAATCTTTAAAAAAACAGAGAGGAAAGAATAGGACCCAGAGTCCCCCTTTCTGTCTGTCTCTGAGTTAAACCTCTCTGAGAATGTGGGTGATGGAGAACCCCATGGCAGCCACTCCTGTTTGTGCCTCCCCTTTTCCTCCTTCCAGCCCCTCAGCCGCAGGGGATGAACAAGATTCACTCTGCCCTTTGTGTGCTGGGCAGAGCCGTGCCAGGGACGGGGGTGGGGGGGATGGTTGCCCAGCTGCCCCAGCCACTCTCCCCACCCCCACTGCTTGTCTTCCCACAAGCTGGCATGGAGAGGGCAACACGGGCAGCTGGATGGACAGTAGCAAGTGAGCATCCAAGGTCAGGGGCATCCCTGGCTGGGAGAACATGGACTTAAGCTCAGACCAGAGAATCCCCTGCTAGCAGAGGCTGGGGACAGCTGGGGAAGCATCTTATACCCAGCGATCTCAGTTTCCTGGACTAATGGAAAGAGCACTGGACTGGCAGCCCAGCCATCTGACTGTACCTGTGAGCTCTTGGGACAATCAAACACCCCCTCCACACCCCTGGGAAATAACGTAGTAGAGAGCAGCAGTTCTCAAACTTTTTGGCTGCGGGACCCCTTAACACTCTTACAAAAGTAGCGAGGACCCCAAAGTGCTTTTGTTTATGTGGGTTATACCTATTGATATTTACCACATTGATATTTACTGAGAAATTTTAAAATATGAATTAATTAAAATAGCAATAATAAACCCATTCTATGTTATAACATACATAACAAATTTTTTTATGAGATTAGCTATTTTACAAAGCAAAAATATTAGGGAGCAGACTGTCATTGTTTTACATTTTTGGAAATTTCTTTAATTTTGTTAATTCAGTTGAATAGAAGATACCTCTGGAAAATTCCAGGGTACTTCTATAAGAGCATGAAAGTGAAAAGGGCAAATAATGTCTTAACATTGTTAGGAAAACTGTTTGGACCTCAAAGACTCCCTGGAAGGTTCTCAAGGGCCTCTGGGCTCCCTGGACCAGACTTTGAAAACCCCTGGTGTAGAAGAACGTCTGTGGACTTTGGAGCTGGGCAGGTGGATTTAAATCCCTGCTCTGTCACTTTCTTCTTCGGGTACTACGGGCCTCACTTTTCTTATCTGTAGAAGGGGATTAATATCAAAGACCTCAGAAGGTTGAGGCACTTAAGTAAGTAGAGTACACAACACGTAGTAGATGTGCTATCAAGCTGGGCTGCTTTCCTCTTGATACGGGCTTCAGTTTCCTCGTTTGTTAAACAAAGGGCTGGACTGGAAATGTCCAAGGCCGTTTCCAGCTCCAACAGGCTGTGGTTATTTAGTGAGGAATGTTCTGGAATTCCACACATTCCCATTCCAACTCCAGTGATATTTCCCCTTTCAGCTCCCACAGACACAAAGGCACATTCTGTTTACTAGCCTGTGGAGACGTGAACACAGATACACACATGTCACTTATGACACATGACATGCCCATGAACTCTGCTTAGAGGCCGCTGAGCGCCAAGACATACGCACAGGTACACAGAGGTTCATGGATCTATACATAGCGCAGAAATGCCTGCCCGGGGGAATATGTGCCTGTGCCTGTGCCCGTGCAGAGACAGGTGTGCACGCGTGCAGGATGCACAAGGAGACCTCGCACACACGCACTCACGCACAGCCACGAGCAGATGGCCCCAGAGACCGCCCGCAGGGTGTGCAGCGGCCAGGGCCGCAACCACTCCTTTCAGTGGCTACTCCCCGCCCGGGACTCCCCGCTCCGCCCAGCGCGCCCCCGCCGCCCGCCGCAGTCCGCGTACTCCCAGCCGGTCAGCCCTCGGCTCGTCCCGGGCTCCGCGCATCTCTGCATCTCTCCGAGGGCTCGGCTCGCGGGAACGAGCAGGGGAGGGGACGGCCGCCGGCGCCCGAGGGCCCGAGGAGTCGCTCTCCGCAGCGGGCAGCTGGGGCCCTAGCTGCGGCAGCGGCTGCCTGTGGCGCCCGCGCGGGGTGGCCGAGAGCGGTGGGGCGGGAGCTCGCAGGCAGCATGGCGGGGCTGCGGGCCAGGCTGGGCTCGGGGCTCGGGTTGCTGGCGCTGTCCACGCTGGGCCTCTGCCTAATGCTGCAAGTCGGCGCCAAGAGGCCCCCCAAGACGCCCCCGTGCCCGCCCAGCTGCTCCTGCACCAGGGACACCGCCTTCTGCGTGGACTCTAAGGCAGTGCCCAGGAACCTGCCCTCCGAGGTCATCTCTCTGTGAGTGCTCTCGTCTGGGGTCGGGTGGGGTGGGGTGGGAGAGCTTGAGAGGGGAGGAAGGCAAAAACCCGCTCTGGGAGTGGGTGGGGAGAAACCCTGCTCCACCTCTACAAAGTGTGGGGACCAGGAGGGCTCCAGGGGGTCCTCAGGACTGCAGATTCAGGCATCAGCCCTGGCTGGGAGCTCTGCAGTCGTGCAGGCTCAGCAGCCGTGGCTGGGAAAGCTGGTGTTTACGGCCAAGAATGAATCGTCACCACCATCAGCATCAATGAGACCTACTGTGTGCAGGGCTCTGGACTTGGAGGGAGGGGGCTGTTTACATGAGCGTGGGGGCCCCTGCCTGTGATGTCACACCAAGGACAGAAGGCTTCTTGTGGGGGAAGGGTGGCAGCAGGGGGAGGGGTGGAAGTGAGATACACTCCTACAGTGCCCTGGCACGGGCAGATGCCTGCCACTGGTCTCGCCAGCCACTCTGCACGGGGCCAGCCAGCCTGTCACTTGCAGCAAGCGGCCTCAGGAACTAGACAGGCTGTGTGGTCCCTGAGAGCAAGATGCGAATCCACCCCCCCATCCCAGTGCCCCATCCCTCAACAGCACACGGCGGGTGTCTGGATGATGGAGAAGGTGCGGGTAATGGAACCTTCTTTGGGCTGAGGTCCTTAGTGCTCAGAGAGGCAGTAGCGGAGGATGATGAGGAAGGCAGGCAGTGAGCTTGTGAGAAGGGAAAGACAGCCTCAAGTTGGGGGAGGAGCCAGGTGACATGGGGAGTTTCCAGGGCGAGGGTATGCAGAAACCATTGCCCTGTCCACCTCGTGCCACCCCAGCAGAGTCCCTGCATACTCCCCTCGGTACTGACTCAGGTGTCCCCTGCAGGACGCTGGTGAATGCTGCCTTTTCAGAGATCCACGATGGAGCATTTTCCCACCTGCCACTGCTGCAGTTCCTGTATGGACAGAGCCTTGCTGAAGGAGGCCGGGGAGGGGTGGGGGCGGGCAGGGGAAGGGGCAGATCCTGGACTGGGGAGAGGGGAGAGGTTGTGAGTAGCCTTGGGAGGTTAAGAGGCAGGCGTCCCTTACTTTCTCTCCAATGGGAGAGCCACAAACAGTGAAGCAGTGGGGAGTCAGGAGGGTTGCAGGGACCAGCAGTTTTGGGGAAGGAAGATGGGGGTTGCCCACAAAAGCAAAGAAGGGGGTATTTGGGGCCCAGTTAGGAATGGACTTTCCTCCTCTGCAGATCCCAAAGAATTGGGTGCAATAACTTAGGCTGGTGCCAGAGGGTGGACACTGCAGGGGAGAGAGCTCGTCTTAGAGACAAGTGACCCCAGGGATCAGGTTCTGAAGAAAAGGCTGGGGGACTGAAAGGGAGGGAAGACGGGAGGGTCTGGAATTCTAAAAGGGGCTGTTTATGTTTGAAGCCCCAGTTGCAGGAGAGAATATATGTGGTTATCCTCAAACTTGCCATCCATCTGGGAGGGACTGGAGAGAGCTGGGGTGAGGGTGGGAGCACAGAGCAGTGGGGAAGGACCCAGCTTGACAGGAAAGGTCCGCCCCTGGCTGTTCTTACCCTAGGAGCAAATAAGGACCCTGGGAGCTTCTGGGACCAGAGCAGGCTCCTGCCTGGACCTGCCGCCCAGGCTGCTCTGGGGTTCTCTGCTGGGGTCCCAAGGGTGGGAGGCATGGCCCGGGGGTGAGGCAGCCGGCTGGGGGCTGGCGAGGCAGGTGTGCCATTGGAAGCTCTAATCCACCTTTGTCTCTGCAGGTTACTCAATTCCAACAAGTTTACACTGATTGGAGACAATGCCTTCACAGGACTGTCTCACCTGCAGTACCTGTGCGTGGGAAGGAAAGGGGAATTGGGAAGTGGAAGGGAGGAGGGCTGAGGGGGAGGGGAGTGAGGAGGGCTGGGGGGAGGGGAGGGGGTGAGAGCCCTTGAATCCTCTGACTGCAGGACCCAAGCAGAAGGTCATTTCATCCATCCCTCTGCCTAAACCATCCCGCCTGGATGCCCTGTCACCACAGACTTAATGTCGCCAGATTCAGAATGGAAGCCTGTCTTGGGGTCATGGGCTGGAATCTAGGTGGGGCATGGGAAGTAGCTGGTCGAGGGTCCGGGATTCCCAACTGGTGGCTGAGACAAGTTCTCTTTTTCTCCAGCTTCATTGAGAACAATGACATCTGGGCACTTTCCAAGTTTACCTTCAGAGGACTCAAGTCTTTGACACACCTGTGAGTACATCACACTCGTACACCAGACCAAAGCCCCCTGTCTCCTGTGGCCTTTGGCTTCGGTCACGATCTTCGGATGACCCAGGGGTCTCTCTTGCAGCTCACTGGCCAACAATAACCTGCAGACGCTGCCTAGAGACATCTTTCGGCCCCTGGACATCCTGAGTGACTTGTAAGGCCCGAGTCCTACTTCTTTTGACAATGGCACAGAGGGACACGTCCCTGGAGGGAGGGGTGTGGGAGCCAGAATTGGGAAGATCATAAGGTCTTGACAGGCTGGGAGGGTTTGGGTTTGGGGTGGGGAGAAGGCTAGGTTGAGTTATATATAGATTGGCAGCCTTTCAAGTTGGGGTTCTTCAAGGCATCTGTGGGCCCTCTTAAAATGCACACGAGACGTTATGTATATATGTTTTTTAAAACATGCGCTTTTAAAAGCTATGTTTGATTTAAATCTACGTTAAAGGCTGATAGCATAGCCACAGTCATTGATCAGTATTTCTACAAGAACACAAAAGCCCTGGATTGTGGAAGGTTTGGAGGAATTGGGATGCAACAGATAGTTGTGCAGGTCATACACTGCAAAAGGCACCTGGCCAAGGAGGCAAGTAGGGGATGAAACTCAGCCTGCACTCTGCTGGCCAAGCACGTGTCCACGGGGCTGCACCCACGCCAAGGGGAACATTTTCCTAACTGGCGCAAAGATGCCACATGAGCAACCAACAGCAGCCTTGACAATATCTACTTCTGAAAACCTAGATGGCCTGGGTGGGCAGAGCAGCTGGGAGCCTGTCCCTCTCTGAGGCCCCTCCATTACCCTCATGATCCAGGGACCTGCGGGGCAACTCGCTCAACTGTGACTGCAAGGTGAAGTGGCTGGTGGAGTGGCTGGCACACACCAACACCACGGTGGCGCCCATCTACTGCGCCAGCCCGCCCCGCTTCCAAGAGCACAAGGTGCAGGATCTGCCGCTGCGGGAGTTCGACTGCATCACCACAGGTAGGAAGAAGCTGCCCCACCTCGGGCATCAGGCTGGGCCTCCCCAGGGAAGCTCCCAGCACCCTGCCTTGCCAGTCGAGTAACCCTCACCACCCAGAAAGCTCTTACCCTCCTCCCTAACCACCACACCCCCCGCCCGACCCATCCCTGCAGATTTCGTGCTGTACCAGACCCTGTCCTTCCCAGCGGTGTCGGCCGAGCCCTTCCTTTACTCCAGTGACCTCTATTTGGCTTTGGCCCAGCCAGGAGCCAGCGCTTGCACCATCCTCAAGTGGGACTATGTTGAAAGGCAGCTTCGAGACTATGATAGAATCCCAGGTATCTGCGCCTGGCCTGGTTGCGGTGGTCCTTATGGTGGGGTGGGCTCCATTGTTCCTGTTCATTGAGTTCCTATAGGTAGAAGGATAGATGAAACATGGTCTCTGCACATAAGAACTTTCTAGTCTTTGGGGGGAGGCTGACACATACACACATAACATCCAGATAATACGTAGGTGTTAGGAGGAAGATATGACCATAATGCTCTGGGAGCACAAAGGAGAGGCCTACCCTGGGCAATCAAGGAAGGCTTCCTGGTGGAGTAGATGCCTAAGCTGAATCTTGAAGGATGAGGGAGAGGGAGGAGTGATGTCCAGGATCCTGGCTTAAGTAACTGGACGGTGCCAGAGAACTAAGGGAGATATAGGAGTGGCCAGTGAGCTCAGTTTGGGATCCACTGAGTTTAAGCCGAGTCTAGAAGGCTGAGGGAGACTTAGCTAGGAGAAAAAATGTGGGAAGGGTGTTCTGGCAGAGAGAACAGCATGAGCAAAGTCAAGAGGGTGTGCAACAGCTTAGCATGCGAGAGCTTGCACATGTAAATAGTTAGCAGCTCACAGGATGACAGCATAATGTTCCAGGTGGAGAGTGGCAGACGAGACCCGAGAGAGATGAGGACCAGGCCATTGACAGGTTCTGAGCAGAGTGTATGAATCAATCCAATCTGTATTTTGGAAAATTCCCTCTGTGAGCAGTGTGGAGAGTGCTAGGCATGAAGCAAGACAGGTGGGCACACCAGAAGGGGTTCAGCTGGAGCCTGGACCGGGACAGCAGCAGTGTGGATGGAGAGGTAGAATAAGGGGGGATTGAACTGACACAAAAGGAAACAGAAAGTTTAAATTGCCCTGTATCTATGAAAGAACTTGAAGTCGTTACATAAAAAACCCTTCTCCCAAAGAAGACTCCAGGGCCAGATGGTGAATTCCATCAAACATTTAAGGAAGAAATAATACCAATCTTACACAAACTGTATGAGAAAGCAGAAGGGAGGGCTGACAGGACTTAGGGACCGGTCAGCGGTGGGTGAGGGAGAGGGCGGCAGTGTTGGGGATGGCTCCCAGGATTCAGGATGGGGTGACTGGGTGGAGCCGCAAATTGAAGTCAAGAACACAGGTTTGGGGGTAGATATGGAGCTCAGTCTCGGCAATGCCAGAGTTTGAGAGGCTTGTGGGTGTGGGGGGAAGGAGGGTCTAAGCTGCTGCTCAGGAGCTGGGGGAGTCATCAGCATCTGGGTGCACAGACCAAGGCTGTGGAAAGGACTCAGGGCGGTGACTTCCAGAGCCTGAGGCTCAGCACAGGCTTCCCTTGGGAGACAGGTGGGGTCACGAGGAGGAGGAGGGTGGTGAAGCAGCGTTGGCAAGCAGGAGAGGAGAGGTGATGACTGGGGACACCGAGAGAGGCGAGAGTGTGTCCACACACGACTCCGGTGCCTGAGAAGGGGTCCGGGCAATCTGGTTGTGGTGCAGATGTTCTCGTACATAAAAGCCCTCTCACAGGTGGGAGCTCTTGGGGGATTGTGTTTTCATACACAAGGCTCCAAGGCTCTGTTTACCTAGGCTTTGTCACCAGCTGTGGCTGTGTTCAAACTCTTCCTCCTTCACCTGCCTCGACATTCGCCAGTGGGGTAGCCTTGGGCAAGTCACTAAGACTCCGAGCCTCAGTTACTTTCTGTGTGAAATTACAAAATAATAGGGTGTATTTCAGCGTGATTCATTGAGGCAATGTGGTCCCACTTAGCACAGTGACTGTACACAATAAAAGTTCAATAATGGACATGACGGTCATACAGTCGGTCGATATCTAGCAGCGCCTACTTTGTGCTCAGTGTCAGCTTATATTTGAACCTTGGGGTCAGGAGCAAAGGGAGGGTGATGCTGAGGTTGATTATTAGCTGTGAGACAATTAGAAAGCATCGAGCACCCAGTGGATATTCAGCAAGGAGGGAATACTGTAGCAAAGAGACTTAGTCTTCGCCCACCGTTGGAAGGGACCAAACCACTTTTCTGAGGGTGTGGCGTGGGGCAGGGGCTTGCGGGCCCCCTGACGCTGCCTGACTCGCTTCCCTCCATCCTGCAGCCCCCTCCGCAGTGCACTGCAAGCCGATGGTGGTGGACAGCCAGCTGTATGTGGTGGTGGCCCAGTTGTTTGGTGGCTCTTACATTTACCACTGGGACCCCAACACCACGCGCTTCACCAAGCTGCAGGACATCGACCCTCAGCGCGTGCGCAAGCCCAATGACCTCGAGGCCTTCCGCATCGATGGCGACTGGTACTTTGCCGTGGCTGACAGCTCCAAGGCGGGGGCCACCAGCCTCTACCGCTGGCACCAGAACGGCTTCTACTCCCAGCAGGCCCTGCATGCCTGGCACCGTGACACTGACCTGGAATTTGTAGACGGCGAGGGCAAGCCACGCCTGATCGTGTCCAGCAGCTCCCAGGCCCCCATCATCTATCAGTGGAGTCGCACCCAGAAGCAGTTTGTGGCCCAGGGCGAGGTGACCCAGGTGCCTGATGCCCAGGCTGTGAAACACTTCCGCGCAGGTCGCGACAGCTACCTGTGTCTCAGCCGCTACATCGGCGACTCCAAGATCCTGCGCTGGGAGGGCACCCGCTTCTCCGAGGTGCAGGCGCTGCCCTCCAGGGGCTCGCTGGCCCTGCAGCCCTTCCTGGTGGGTGGCCGCCGCTACCTGGCCCTGGGCAGCGACTTCTCCTTCACACAGATCTACCAGTGGGATGAGGGGCGGCAGAAGTTTGTGCGGTTCCAGGAGCTGGCGGTGCAGGCCCCTCGGGCCTTCTGCTACGTGCCTGCTGGGGACGCCCAGCTGCTCCTGGCCCCCAGCTTCAAGGGACAGACACTTGTGTACCGACACGTGGTGGTGGATCTCAGTGCCTAGAGGGGGTCCGAGGCCTCTGGGTTCCTCGGAGCACTGGAGGCTGGGTGGAGCCTCCGGGGGAGCAGCGTGTTTGCCTGTGTGAAGACACATGTAGCCAACCTGCATACATGCCCTCACGTACACATCCCCCCGGTGAGCATGGACCGTACTGTGGACTCTAGCCCAGGGATGCCACTTAATTTTCACTGTTAATCAGCATGAAGTCTTGTATACGCACCAGACAACCCAGCCCCTGGTGCCCTCCCACATGTGGACGCCGGTTCACCCCACACCACCTCCCTCGCTCTGCTGCCTTCCACATGCTCTGGCCCAGGGAGGGGTCCTGGGAGGGCTGGAGGCTGAACCGCTCCCTCCTGTTCTTCAGCTTATCCTTCTGACCCTCTGGTCTTTCCTGTTGGTGCTCCAGGTGTCTGTTTACCTGCTTATGCTCTGCATCGCAGCCCATGGCCACATCCTTCACACTGCCGGGTGCACTCACCCACGCTCCCCGCCTTCTGCACGCACACGTCGACACAGACAGACTCCCTCAGTTACACGCACACACACCTGTCTACACTCCCATCTCCATGGGCACACATGCAGATTCAGTGCTGGGTCCCCTCCATGACCTTGCCTCTCTTCCTGGAGGGGCACAGAGTACCTGTCCTCCTCTGCTCACCCCTGGTGTGGCCAGCCTGCAGCTGAAAACGATTGGAATGGTGGTGCCAACCTCTGGACACCAGCTTGACCTCCTGGGGGCAAAGCCCCTCTGCCCGAAGCAATAACAACAGCTCCAGCAGACCCTGCCTTCTTCCCAGCGCTGTCTCAGTGCTCACTGGAGTTTCCTTCTCTGACCCTGAATCCAGCTCACTGGTGAACAGGAGACCACCCAGATGAAAGCCTTTCTGCTTTTCTTTCCTGTAGCCACCCCAGCCCCAGACCACACCCTGGTTCAGCCCCACCATTGGGATATGGACCCTGCGCTGTGTTGGCTCCTTTGGGTGCGTCCAAGGGCTGGCCAAGCCAAGGTCACTGCAAGTACCTGAGGTATCTGGGCAGGTGCCAGGAGTGGAGCTGGGCTGAAGAGCATCCTGGGGGCCCTGGTGCCCCTCCAAACCACAGAGGCACACCCCAGGAGCACTGCCTTTCAGTGCAAGCTGACTGCCGCAGCGGGGAGGGAGGGAGGGTCCTGTGGGAGCGGCACCTGGCAGCCAAGCTTCTGCTGCCCTCTGCTGTACGCTGGGAACAGAGGGCTCTGAGATGTTAGGCTGGTAGGGAAGGCACAGGGCAGGGAGTCTCTTCCGTGTGCCCAGACTGTGTGGGGACCTCCAGGTAGGAGGATGCCCAGGGGCACTTGGGGACAATGCTCTGATTCACTTGCTTCAAATAAAAAGTTTCCACCCCATTGACGGCTCTCAGGTATCCAATGGTGATGGTGAGCGGCACCTGTTTCCTTAAGAACAGAGCTGTGTTGTCTGTCCCTGCTGCTTGCAGGGGGCCAGCGTCAGTTTCAGACCCCCTTCCTCCCTGCTCCCCTCCCTCTGAGGAGTGAGTAGGCACCCCAAAGTCAGCCGGTGCTGGGGTCAGAAGTTCATGGTGATGACGCTCAGGTGCTGGGTGAGTGTGACTCGTCTCCATCACCTGGGGCTGACTCACGGCCAAGTGTTCCTTCTTGGAGATCACAGTCTTGGGGCCCGCTGAGACTGGAGGCTGACCCTCGGTCAGGTCAAATCCAACCAACAGGGCCAAGGACAAGCTCAGCAGTCCGTCTCCTCTCCACCCCCCTCTGCTGGACAAATATGTGTCATCGCTGCCACCCTCGGCCCTAGGTGTGAGATTTCCAGCAAGTGGACTGATTTCTCCAAGCTGAGCTTCTCCTTCTGTAAAGTAAATAATAAAACCTACTTTGTCCGATCCTGATTCTGCCACTTACTAGCTTGGAGGTCTCAACCATATTCCTTCGCCTATTTGTATCTCAGTTTCCTCATCTGGAAAATGTGGATAATCGTGCTACCTATGTGAGAGGGTTAAAATGAGATTTGAATGCATTAGATTTATAATGTGTTAATATATGTAAGGCTTAGAATCATGTGTCTGGCACAGAACTAAGATTTTTTTTTTTTTTGATTGTAGGACTCTAGGAGATACCCAGGTGGCTCAGAGAAGGCTGCTTTGTGGGCGAGGAGAAGGTTGATCTTTGGGGAGACCTTCTGTCTGTGGATTAGGGTTCCTGACCTATCTTCAGTCTCAGAGCCCCTGTACCCTACATCTTACCTTTAGCCTCAGATGCCCACGCCTCACAATAGGGAATCTCATAGGTGATGTGTTTGGGTTTCCACCTCCTAAAACCACAGTCACGTGCTCTTGACTTGGCAGGTATCTCTTGGGACCCCCCCAGCCACACTGTCCTGGGAATGCCTTCCTGCTTTCTCAAATGGGGAATGGGCCCTCACGCTGTGCCAGGGAGAGGTTGCCAGGGAAATAGGGTTGAGTCTCCCAGACATGTTGGCACTCTGTTGCCCGGTAGAAAGATAAACATCACTGTGATTGTCACTTCCCCCAGGGCACCCGCCAGGGTTGGGAGACACTTCTCCCCCTGAATGCCCAGCTTTCTGCACGTGGGGAATGGAGCCCACCGTATGCCTGCCTGGTCACCTGCCAGAGGTGGGTCATCATATGTCCAGAGAGCTGCTTAGCAACTCAGTGTAACCGGGTGACTGTGTCAACAGCTCAGGACCAATGGGCGTGACAGGCAGAGTCCACTCACTGCCAAAGCCCAGGAGGGTGACCCCCTCAGCTGTCAGCCTCACGCCTCTCCGTGCTCTCAGTAGCAGACCTCTCACATCTTGTCCCTTAGATTTTTCCAAGCACAGTCATCGGGACCAAGAGTCTCCATGTGAGAGACATTCCCGGCTGGGTTGGCTTAGGGTGGGCACAGGGGAGCTCCTCTCCAGCGAATGGGGGTAAAGTGAGGCCTGTGATGCTGAGGTCAGGTGACTCTGGAAGGCAGCGAAGGTGGGGGAGGGGAGGCAGTTCTGCAGCAGGTACCAAGGGCCCGAGGCTCACATGCACACAGTCAGCCCAGGTACCCTAACTTCTGGAGGAATGGATGTCCATTCCCTTTTCTGTACCCCCTGCTCCTCCTGAGCTGTCCAGAGGGTCAGTCATATCCTTTTGCTCCAAGGAGACAAGGATACTTTTCACCTTCATTACAATGTCTGTGTCCAGAGATGGATGGTGACCGGGACCTTCCTGAGGGGATCCTAGCCCTGGGTGGTTCTTGTTCCTCCAAACTAGGGTGGGAGCTAGGGCCAATGTGAGGAGGTGATTAGGCGGGGGGAGGGAGGCATCAGGGCCTTGGGGGAGTTTCTCCTGTGGGCCAGGTTCACTGCAAGCTCTCCCACTCAGCAACACCAATAAAACTGATGATGATAATTATGACTATATAATCACTGAGTGTTTATTTATTCCCAAGAAGCCTCCTTTCCCTCCATCATTAGCTATTCCATCCTTTTGATAGATGGTGAGTGTTAACTGTAGCTCTAATAAAAAGTGATAACTGCCCAAGTTTTCCACCCCCACGCTCTGGGCAGCTCTGCTGTCACCCTCACCTCAGCCCTACGAGGCAGAAGGGAAGCTGTGCGGGGTGCGGGGGGGATGATGCGCTCCCCATTTTCAGAGGGAGGAATGAGGCACCTAGCAGAAGAGGTACAAAGAATGCAGCCCCACGTGGAAAGTTGTAGAAGCAGCAACGTTTGCCTTCTCTTTTTTTTTTTTTTTAAATTACTTTTTATTGGAGTATAGCTGATTTACAATATTGTAAGCCTTTTCTTTTGAGCCTCTCACCTTCTTCCAGATACACACCTTCCTCCTAGAGGAGCTTTTCCATTCCCTGTCCCCTCCCAGGGCTGCCCTCAGAAGACTGATTAATCTAAGCATTTTTTTGTGTGTGTGGTACACGGGCCTCTCACTGTTGTGGCCTCTCCCACTGCGGAGCGTAGGCTCAGCGGCCGTGGCTCACGGGCCCAGCCGCTCTGCGGCATGTGGGATCCTCCCGGACCGGGGCACGAACCCGCGTCCCCTGCATCGGCAGGCGGACTCTCAACCACTGCGCCACCAGGGAAGCCCTCTAAGCACTTATTTATCGTTCGCCATCAGGTGCCGTTGGGCAAGTTACTTTCCACCATTGAGCCTATTTCCTAAATGGTAAAAAAAAAAAAAAAAAAAGGATCTTTGTAAAGATCAAGTCTCTGCGCTCAAAAATGCACTACAAAATGGCAGTCGTTGATACTGTTAAGGTCTCAGGGATATCTGTGTTCTTGACTCTCGGAAATAGGTGGGATTTCAAACTTTTGGGGAAGAAGACATGGGGGGCTGGGGACTCTACCCAGAATCTTTCAAATCAGCCTGCCCAAGGATGTGGGCTCTGGAAAGGTATCCCAGAGAGAAGTCAACTCCTGAAGCCCACTGTTCAGCAGGGTGAGCGGGATGGGGGTGATGAGTCCCTCAGGTTCTCTCTCCTCCACGTCCTCCCCACTTTCCCTCTAGGTCACCTCAGCATCTTTGAGGCACTTGAGGCGCTTACTGATCTCCCGACCTAGTGCTATAAGACCCAGATTTGCTGGTGCCCAGCCAAACCTTCTAGTTCTCACCTGAGCCTCTAACGGGGGACGTCGACCCATCTCATGCCCATTCCCATTCCACAGAAGGAGAAAACGAGGCAAAAGAGGGGAGCTAGTGAAGATCCGCGAAAACTCTGGACTCCAGATTTCCTTCATTTCTTTCTTCACCCGTCGCACTTTTTAAAATTTATTTATTTAATTAATTTATTTTTGGCTGCATTGGGTCTTCATTGCTGCGCGCGGGCTTTCTCCAGTTGTGGAGAGCGGCGGCTACTCCTCGTTGCGGTGCGCGGGTTTCTCATTGAGGTGGCTTCTCTTGTTACGGAGGCTCTAGGCACGCGGGCTTTAGTAGTTGTGGCTCGCGGGCCCTAGAGCGCAGGAGTTGTGGCGTACGGGCTTACTTGCTCCGCGGCATGTGGGATCTTCGCGGACCAGGGCTTGAACCCGTGTCCCCTGCACTGGCAGGCGGATTCTTAACCACTACCCCACTAGGGAAGTCCGCACCTTTTTGTTTCCGCTTCCTACCCCCAAATCTTTCCCATTCGGAGGGCTACTCAACCTACGGTCCCCATCCACCAGTCGGAGGCGCATCGCCACTTTAAGGGGCAGGCCTCTCACCTCCCTGACCTCGCCCCGCCCCCTCCGCGGCCGCACTGCGCCTGCGCCACGCGCCGGAGACCTGGGGTTGGGCAGGGCCCAGTTCCGTGCAACTTTCAAGTGAGTTGCAAACTCCGCCCCGAGGACGGTGCAGGTGTCCTGGCGCACTGGGGCCGTGGGTACCCGCACGAACGCAGGCTGCGACCAGCCACCTCTGGCTCGGGACCCACAGCGCCCCCGGCAAGGGCCGAACGCCTGGTTCTCCGGGGCAGGAAGTGCGGATCGGAGCGTAACTGCCCGAGCGGCGGGGCGGAAGAGCGTGCCGGCCGGTACCGGCTCCCAACTCAGTTCCTGCCTGCCCCGGCCCGCTGGTCTCCCCATTCTTCAGGCTTCCAGCACTGAGGAGTCAGTGGGCGGTGGGCTCCGCCTCCACTAAGGGGCAGCCCGAGCACCCCTGTGGTTTCCACACCTCCACTGTTGATCCCATCCCAGCGCAGGCGTGAGCGTCCCTCTGGGCGTCTTCCTGGAGGGATCTCCCTTCGCTCCCGAGACTGCAGGATGGTGTCCTGGATGATCTGTCGCCTGGTGGTGTGAGTATGGCCGCTCAAATACCCTCTCTATCCCTCGATGTCAGCCCGCCCCTGGGGTGGAAGCTGGGAATGTCTGGTGGAAAAGGGGGCTTTTCTGAGCTATGTCACACCTTTCCCCTCCCTCCAACATTCACCGCAAGGTTTAAGGGACCTGCGGGCCTGCACAAGGCATTGGGCACCGTGTGCTTGTCCCCTCGCACTCAAGCCTGCTTGGCTGATGGCGACCCCCTGCAGTCACACACGTACTGCAGGCAGGTGAGTGGGACGGAGGACCACAGGCCGGCCAGCCACCCCTTGGCAAACACAGGATGTGGCACGTTGTGGGCAGAGAATCCAGGTGCCGGCTTCCCAGCTGAGCAGTCAGTCACGTGACTCACCACCCTGGCCCCAGCTTGCCCACTCTGTCCTACTCCTCACCTGGCTGGAATATCCTTGCCTGCAACCTGGCAGTGCCAGGTCTGGTGGCCCTGGGCCTGATTGCACGTCCAGGGGAGGGAACAGCCTGGTGCTCTCATGGCTCAGAAGCCTGCCTCCCACTCACCTTGTGGAGTGGCTGTCTGTGCTCTCGCGGCATCATGCACCCATGGGCCACTCGTGCAGGCCTGGGCAGGCTTGGGATGTTTGTAAACAGCAGGGTGGGGAGGCGGCCTCCAGGGCACTGACTCAGGTGCAGGTCGTGCAAGCCAAGCGGGAAGAACAGGGCAGGCACTGCCACCTCGAACGTGGGGTGCGGGGGAGGCCGCCACCTGGCAGGGGCGTGGGGAGTGGCGCCCCTCACACTCTCCCTCTGCTTTGGGGGCTGCTCTTCAGGCTGGTGTTTGGGATGCTGTACCCAACTTATGCTTCCTACAAGGCTGTGAAGACCAAGAACATTCGTGAATATGTGAGTGCGGGGGTGGGCAGGAGGGCTCAGCTCAGGTGGGGGGACCACAGCCTTGGGGGTGTGGTAGGATTTGGCGAGGTGGGCGAGTCTGAGCTGGCCTCCCTTTCCTCCAGGGGTACAATCTGGTGGCGTACCCTGGAGCAGAGTGGGTGTGGATGGAGGATGGGCTCTTGGGATTCTTTGCAGGATCTTGTGGGTGCAGCCTGTTGGGGTGGGTACAGGAATGAGTGGCGGCTTCTCAGAGGCAACTTTCTAAGGCCAGCCAGGTGCCAGGGGAATGCAGTGGGACGGGCTTTCTGGAATCTCGGGGCTGGGTCAGCCCGGGACAGGGGATTTGGCACTGCAGGCGCAGCTGCTGGCCTCTGACCTCTCTGCCCGCCCCTCCCCGTCCAGGTCCGGTGGATGATGTACTGGATCGTCTTTGCACTCTTCATGGCAGTGGAGACCTTCACAGATGTCTTTATTTCCTGGTACGGGCACTGGGGTTCTGTGGGCTGCGGGGAGGGGGTGGTCCTCCCTGGCCTGGCTCCCAGGCGGACCTTACCCGCTCTGCTCTGACAGGTTCCCTTTCTACTACGAGATCAAGATGGCCTTTGTGCTGTGGCTGCTTTCGCCCTATACCAAGGGGGCCAGCCTGCTTTACCGCAAGTTCGTCCACCCATCCTTGTCTCGCCATGAGAAGGTACCGCAGCGGGAGGCAGGGCGGGCAGTGTAGGAGTGGGTGTGAGGCGAAGAGCCCTGGACTTGCAGCTCAAGACACTGGGGACACCTAGGCTCTAATCCCAGTCCTACTGCTGTTTAGCCATGGGGCCTTGACAGAGCCTAGCCTTCCTCCTCTTCTGGGAAAATCAAATGGGGACACATGTGAATGACCTTTAGGGGGTGTGAAACACCAGCTGGAAGTTGGTTTGGGCATGGTGGGGGGAGACTGGAGCACGGCCGATCATTGAGGTGTAGGATCCGGTGAGTGGATGGGGAGCCCTGTGCTCTGTGGGTGGGGTGGGCTGGGAGGCGTGGCTCCCAGTGATTTCTCTGGGCCACAGAGGAGTGACTAGGGCTGTGCGCCTGAGCTTTCCTCCCCCCCCCCCCCCCGCCCCGCGTCCGCAGGAGATCGACACCTACATCGTGCAGGCCAAGGAGCGCAGCTACGAGACGGTGCTCAGCTTTGGGAAGCGGGGCCTCAACATTGCTGCCTCGGCTGCTGTGCAGGCAGCCACCAAGGTGCCCTGGGCCCCAGCCCTCCCCCCTCCCCACCCCCACCCCCAGGGCCTTTTGAGCGAGTCCAGCTGTCTGTCAGGGAGCCGAGAGATCGCAGCTGTCCAGGCCGGGGGAACAGGGGCGAGAGGTGGCAGGTGGGGCGTTGGCAGGAGCACAGAACTGGAAGTTCAGACTTCCCTGGCTGACACTGACCGTGAGCGGCTGCTCTTGGGCCTTAGGCCCTACCTTCTTGCTGGCGCCACAGAGGCACAGGGCCAGGAGGTTGCCATGTTTCTTTTGGTTCTGAGGCCTGTGCCCCAGGGATTGCTTGCAGGTCAGCCTTGATTTTCCTGGGCAGCTCCCCTGGTTGAGGCCCCTTCCTGCCAGGAGCCCTGCCCCCCTCCGTCAGGCGGTGCAGCTGATCCCACTCTCTTGCAGAGTCAGGGCGCACTGGCCGGAAGGCTGCGGAGCTTCTCCATGCAGGACCTGCGCACCATCTCCGATGCCCCCGCCCCCACCTACCAGGATCCCCTCTACCTGGAGGACCAGGTACCCCACCGCAGGCCACCCATCGGTGAGTGGACAGAGGAAGCCAGAGCTGTCCCGAGAGGGATGGCTTCCTCCAGGCCAGCTGTGGCTCCCCCCAGGGCCAGAGGAAAGCCTGGCTCAGCTGGCCCCAGGCCTTCAGACTGTGTCCGTGCCCAGCTTTGCCTCCCGGCCTCCCTCTCCTCCACAACAGGGTACCGGTCAGGGGGCCTGCAGGACAGTGACACCGAGGATGAGTGTTGGTCAGACACAGAAGTGGTCCCCCAGCCATCAGCGCGGCCCCGAGAGAAGCCTCTGGGCCGTACCCAGAGTCTGCGTGTGGTCAAGAGGAAGCCGCTGGTGCGGGAGGTCGGTGGTGAGGAAGGCACAAGGGGAGCGAGCTGCCCTGGTGGCCGCCTCAGCCCGGATCTCTCACGGGGTGCCTGCTCTCTCTCCCCACAGGGCACCACGCGCTCCCTGAAGGTTCGGACGAGGAAAAAGACCACGCCTTCAGACATGGACAGCTAGGGTCTACGGAGCCTGGCCCAGTCTTACCTCGTGCCCTGCAGGGCATTGGGACTGTTTGGAGGGGACCTCTGGCTGCACATCTGGCCTGCCTGCACCAGCTGCCCGGGTGCTGCCCTCCTGACTCTTGCTGTCGGTTACGGGCCATATGTGGGGCTGCACCCACGATGCACCAAAGCAGGCCGGGCTCAGGGTTTTATTTATTGTCCTTCTCGCCGCTCTACCTTCCCAGGTGTGGAACCAGAGCCCTCCCCAGACTCCTGAAAAACGAAACCCAAAGCCCACCCAGCTGTGTTCGTTCCTTCCTGTCCTTCCGAGTACTTCACAGCCTTCTCCAAGGCCAAGTGTGTGTCCTGGTTGTTTGGTCTGTGTTGGTGAATGAGGCCAGGTTTGCGGAAGTTTTGATAAATAAATGCGTCAAAGTGCCCCGTCTCTTCTGGTTTGTAGCCCCGGTCCTCACAGCACGTGTTATTAAACAGCCTGCCCCAGGGCAGTCTGGGCCTGGTGCTAAAAGGCCAGACAGACTGCCAGAGGGGCCCAGTGTTCCGGGGCAGGTAGCCATCGACAGATTGTTGCGATGCGGCAAGTACTATTATGGGAAGCTCTTGGGGACCTCTGAGAACACGGATGGGAGAGTGGCGGGGAGGGGGGCGCGGGGGGGCAGTCCAGAGTCTAAGAATGCAGTCCGGAGGGGATGGGATCAGGCCTCGACGGGAAGTAGAAACCAGTGGGAGCGAAGGTGTGGAGGGACCTCAGGCAGCACAATAATCTCATGGGGATTAGCTAAAACTGCGGAAGATGAGGGCTGGGGAGGCCGATTTCCTCCAAGGGCCTGCCAGGCCTCTAGGCAGCTCCTGGTGCATCGAGTTCGTAAACACTTAGGTTGACAGGAGCTTTGCACCTCTGCGGAGTGGCCGTGAGAGGGCAGCAGCTGCCAGGGTCTGGGCTGCCCCCAGCTTCCAGGTCAAGGAGGGAGGGGCTTGGAGGCTGGCCTGTCAGCTAGCTGGCTGGAGGGATGATGCAGGACTCTGGCCCGGCCTCCAAAGGCCCTCCCTGCTGCTCGTGGTCATTGGTCATCAACCAGTCCCATCCACGAATCTCCTCTGTTCTGAGACCCAGGCTGTTTGCTGGCTCCACTCCATCCCCTACTCTAATCCCTGGGCAGCCAGTGCCCAGCCCTGCCCTCTCCTGCCCCCGGATGCTGGTCTTACTGTACTGTCCCCGGGGCTGCTCCCCTCTCCCACCCACATGCCTCCTGTTCTTTCCCGCTTTCGATTAAGTCAAGAGATGGGTGAGAGTGTCGGGTAGGAAGAGGGGAAATGGGGTGGTCACCCGGAGTGACCTGAGGAGTGTGGCTTAACTCTGGGTATGGGGATTATCCGAGTTTATTTGGGAGAAGTACTTAATCTGCTGGGTGGCTTAGCTCCTCACGGATTGGTGTTCAATGACTTCCTATCTTGGTGTTCCCTTGCATCATGGGGTTGATTTATCTCTTCATTTATTCATTCAAAAATCTTTATTGAGCATCTCCCAGGTACCAGGCATGTTTCAAGAAACTGGGCATGTAAAGTCAAGTGAGAGCTAGCACCTAGAATGTGGCCGCCCCAGCAGGGGCTACTCTGAGCCCCCGGCATATATTAACTTAATCCTCACAACAATCTCATGAGGTACATACTATTATTATAATCTCCATTTCACAAATGGGAAAACAGGCACCGAGAGGGCAAGTAATTTGCCCGAGGTCACACAGCTAGTAAGTGGCAGAGTTGGGCTTGGAAACCAGGCAGTCTGGCTCCAGAGTCAGTGTACTTAACCACTGTGCAGAACTAGAGTAAATGAGAAAGTTTCTTGCCTGGGAGGCAAGGAGAAGGAAACTAGCAGTTATCCAACATTGATTCTGGGGACTTCCCTGGTGGCACAGTGGTTAAGAATCCGCCTGCCAATGTAGGGGACACAGGTTCGCGCCCTGGTCCAGCAAGATCCCACATGCTGTGGAGCAACTAAGCCTATGCGCCACAGCTACTGAACCTGCGCTCTAGAGCCCGTGAGCCACAACTACTGAGCCCATGTGCCACAACTACTGAAGCCCGTGCACCTAGAGACCGTGCTCTGCAACAAGAGAAGCCACTGCAGTGAGAAGCCTGCGCACCGCAACGAAGAGTAACCCCTGCTCGTCTCAACTAGAGAAAGCCCGTGCGCAGCAACAAAGACCCAACGCAGGCAAAAATAAATAAATTTATAAAGAAACATTGATTGTTTGTCTGACCTCATGTTGGGCATTTTAAATAGATGATTTCCTTAAATCCTCCTGTCAAGCCTGTCAGGTCGGGGTTATAGCCATTTTACAGATGGAAGAACTGAGACGTGGAGAGGTGAAGCAACTTGTCCATGATTGTGCTGTCTGTGGGTCAGCGCCCCATCTCCTGATGCAAGTCTGTCCAGAAGTCGCCTTGGTGGGGGTGGAATGGCAGAATCCACACCCCTGAACCGAGAGAGAAAAACAGAGGAGTGTGTGACAAATGGACAAAATGAGATAAAAACTGAAAGCGGGGAGCAGCTGAGGGAGGCCTGAAGGTGCCGGCTGGTGAGGGAGTTTTCCTGGGAGCTGGGCTTCACCAGCCCTCATTCCTTGGATGGGGCCTTACAGGGACAGGCAGGGTCACTTGGGCCCCGGGGCTGAATCAGAGATGGTCCCTGATGGCTGTCTTAGCCCCAGCCTCCTGGCTAGCCTGGCTGCCCCGCTGCTCCTATTTCTATCTGCAGAATGCATCACTTTCATTCCAACATTGGCCTCCAGGCCTTTGCTGCACTGTGTGCGTCCCCTGTGCTCCCAAGAGTCTTCCATCCAGGCCGACGCGGCCTTCCTTCACGATCTGCTTTCTCCAAGAATCCTCCCCTGACTCCAACCCCTCCTGAGGATTCTGAGGCTCCTGACCTCTGGCCCACTCACCCTGTCCTGGGGGCACGATGCCGTGGGCTGTGCTCATGTGCCCGTCGCCCCCTCCGCTCCCTGACCAACCAGACTCCCCTAGGCCCCAATTGCTACTTGCTCCCCACCTCATCAGTCTGGACTCTCTCATGTCTCCATGCTCTTCTCCTGTCCCACCAACACTCTGTCCTATTCCTGTTTGCCCTCTGAACCCCACTCAGACATCACCTCCTCCAGGAAGCCCTCTGTAACCTTCCCTTTGCCCTTGGGGTTGATTGCTCACCTAGACCACGCTGTCTCTGTGCTTGCATGGACTTCTATTTTTGCCTCGAGCACATCGTATTTCCCTCCCCACTACACTGTGACTTCATAATGAATAGATTTGTGTCTTACTTTTGTATCCTGGCCTGGAGCACATGGTGGTTTAGACCAAGTGAAATATTGTAGTACGTGGTGAAGTACTCATTCCCTCATTTCTGAGCTAAGCATCACCCGCTCTGTGATGCTCCCCTGATTTTTCCAGGCTGGGACTGGAAACGTTGTTAACGTTTGTTAATATGCCCGACTCCAATCATTACCTGCAGTGCCCAGCACAGGGCCTAACACCTAAGGTGCTTCAGGGAATGTTTGCTGGTAAAAGAACGTGGACCAAGTGAGCAGAAGCTCCTCGAGGCCGGGGATGACTTTGTACATTCATCTTTGTACCCTGCATCTCCTTGGTGGCCATCACAGAGCCTTGAATATGCCCAGGTCTCTGTAACACGTTTGGCGAATGTCTGCTGCAGTTGTTTGGATTCCAAGACATCCTGGGGCCAGAAGGGAAGGGGCAAGGAGAATTCCAAGTTCTGGACAAGCACATGTGATCCCGAGACTGGGTCATTGGGTGTGGGCAGGGCTTCCCTCAGAGCCTGCCCTGTCCCTCTGAGAATCACTGACACATCTGCCCAGCACCATCTCCCTCTGCATGGGGTTACTGGCCCAGCCCATGCCCTCTCTAGCCTGGCTCCTAGGGGAAGGTTAGGCCTTCCTCTGGCCTACCCACGGCCCCCCACCTTCTATTACTCACCGGTGTGCCCACTGTCTTCCCAGGCAGAATCACGCCGGGCACTGGTAGGGAGATGAAAAGCCTAGGCTAGTCCCCTTGGAAGCACGCACCTTTGCTTGGCCCAGGTACCAGCCCTGCCTGATTTGCGCTCGCTCTGTCCTCCCCATCCATCTTGCCTGCTTCTGAGGGATGCCCCCACTGCCTCCGAGTTCCCAGGAGCAGGTGGCCCCTCATTCCCAGCCCTCCCTTCTCCCTCCTCCCCACAGCCCAGCTGTCCCTTGGACCTTTCTGGTGGCTCCTCTCTTTCCCTACCTCTTCGGCCCCTCCCGGTCCCGGTCCCCCTTCCCTACTCTGGCCTCCAGGTGCACTAGCCCCACTGCTGCATTTTTCGCTGCCGCTCTGGGCGGCAGCAGCGTGGTTAGCCTCTTGTTTCAACACAGCCCTGGCCCAGGCTGAGTTGGGGTGTCGTGACTGGCACTGCCCCACCCTTTACGGGGTTGAGGAGGTGAGCACTCCGGCTCTCGCCCCCTTGTCCCCCGCCCAGCATCAGGGACTGGGATGCCCTATAGCTGGGTAGGCGTAGAAGCCCCGGCAGGAGGATGAGGCCCGCTGCTTAGGAATTCCCGGGGGCCAGAGCTGGGTTACTAGGCAGAAGGTCCTGAGCCCGGGGTGGAATGAGGTAGCTTTCTCTACCAGGGTGGCTGGATTGCAGGGGAGGGAAGGTTGGGTGAAAGGAGAAGGGGCATTGGTGAGGTGCAGACTGAGAAGAGGAACTAGGTCAGAGATGTGGGTGGGTGGGTGAGAGGGGAGGGGGCATCTGCCACGGAGCTTCCTCCTGGCTCCAGAAGCATCTCCACACTTCCCTGCCTCTGCCCTTCTCCCCAGGTCCTGGGAGATTCTCCCCGGTATTCCCCCTCCCCCATGCCCCCGCCCCAGGCGTTGCCACAAGGGTGGGGGTGGGGTGGGGGGAGGCCAGCCTCAGCTGTCTGAAGGATGGAGGGGCTGGGGAAGTAGGGCTAGGTGCCCAGACGGCCGCGTGTGTGGGAGGGGATGTCCTCAGATGCCCTCCACCCGGCAGTCCCCGCTCTGACGTGTGGGTGCCCCCCCTCTCCCTGCCCGGATTAGTGGCAGCTTGGCCTGACTCTCCGGGGCTCCTTTCCCCGCCCCCGCCTGCTGCCCTCCCCTGGGCAGGGGGCTGCTCCGCCCGAAGGGCACTTGTGCTTGCCCAGGTAAGGGGCTCTGGGGACAGCGTGAGGGCAGCTGGCTCAGGAGTGCTGCTGCGCGTGTCAGTGGGAACGTGTGTATCAGTGTGTGTGTGTCAGTGCTCTTGAGGGGTCGTTGCGGGGCCGGAGCGGACCCACGCGAGTCTGGGGGTGCTGGTCGGCTCGCCTGTGTCCACGGATCCGGCACCGTGTCCACACGTTGCGTGGCTTTCCTTCTGTTTGTGTCTTTGCGTGGCTCCTCAGATCTGCTCTGTCCTCAGGCACAGAACAGCCGGCTCCTAGGGCTCCGTGGGCCTGTGGCATGGGCTGTAGAGCAGGATGGGGAGCTGGGCGAGGGTGGAAAGGGCTTCCTTCCCCCGCCACCCCAATCCCCCCACGACCCCCTGGGCATTTTAGGAGCCTGTCCTGAGAATCCTGGTCTAGTCCAGAGACAGTGATCTCAACTAGAAAGACTTGGCAAAGGGGGTGGGGGGAGGTGTCTGTCCCACTCCCCTGGGGCTGTCCCCATCCCCTCGGGGCCTGGACAGCCCAGGCTCCCACCCTGCCCTGCCCAGCCTCTTCTAGGCCTCAAGCCGCAGGAATCTCCCCCTGGAATCTCCCACAAGTTTTGGCTGCCAGAGGACACAGATGGGGGACTACAGGCACACCCCAGCCCTCCATCCACGTCCTGGAGCCAGCCTGGGAGCGGAAGGCTGGGGCTTGGGGCTTGGGGCCTGCAGTCTGGGTTAGACCCTCCAGGATCACTTCCCCTGGCACACTCAGGTCCAGGTCACCCCTCAGGGGAGCTGGAGGAGGAAGGGAGTGTTAATAACTCAGTCATGTAAACAACCCCTACCAGCCTGCCCTGTCACAGAACCGGCCTCTGGGGGAAGGTGAAGGGGCCAGGAGAATCTGTGCCAACGTGACCTAAGTCTTGCCTGGTGCCGACCCCTTCAGGCCTCCTCTCCTCAGCACCCCTCCTCTTCTCCTCAACCGGTGAAAGGATCCCAGCCTCCCCTCCAGTCCCTGGAAGGGAGCCACCCTCATGGCTTCCTGCTCCAGGGATGGTGGTGTGACCTGGGACAAGGCTAGAGGCGTCCAAAACCTCATCCCTTCGATGGAATGGGGGTGGGTGGGTGGTGCTCTCTGTCCCCGGCTGGGTGAAGGCAGGCCAAGGATGGCTTCCACAGGGAGGCAGGGGAGTCACGGGGTGGGACGTGGGTGCCTGAGGGGAAGGGAAGCGCCCGTTGGGCGTGTGGGTTTCTGTGTGTGTCTGAATCTGTCTGTGTGTGTTTGAATCTGTCTGTGTCTGTGCTCTGGAACCACCCTCGCAGAAGGGCCAGGATGCTTCCTCGGGTGGAGGATGCCCTGCTTTCCCATTTCCTCTCCTCCTCTCTGCTCCCTCCCAGGAGCCACTCCCATGGGCTCCTCTCCAGGGCGGGCCTGGAAACACTAGGAGCACGGGATGGCGCAGACCCCCAGGACACGGGGCTGGAGCAGGTGGTGGAGCGCATCTGGTCCCACTGCCTCTCTGGACGATTGGTGAAACTGGGGCCCTTAGACCAGGAACAGACTAGAGCCTAGACCCTTCTAGGACACTGTGCCCTGGGAGGGGGCTTGCTTCTGGAACGGTGAAGAGCAGCTTGGCCAGATGAGGAACCGGGCAGGGCAGACCTGGGCCAGCGTGTGTGCCCGGGTGCCAGAGCTGGAGAGGATCAAGAGCCAGTGGTCCAGAAAGCACGGGGTGGCTGGCGTGGGTCACAGCGCCCATCATTGACCCGTGAGAACTCGACTGCCCCTGCCAGCTCTGGCACTGACCCCTCCCAGCAGCCCTGCCCTGGCACCCCTGGGGGCACCCCGCCCCATCGTGGCCTGGTCCGGCCCCTCCCGCCCTTTGCTCCAGTTCCCGGGCTTGGCACCTATAGTGGGGGTGCTGCCCGCCTGCCAGGCTCCGGGGCCGGGCCCACGGGAGGGTGGGGCGGCTGGGAAGCTGGCACGCTGCCCCGGGGGAGCCTCTCTCGGCAGGCGCCCGGGTGCCGCGGGGGGGAGGGGGGAACAAAGGGCTCATTCTCCCCGTGCGCAGCCGGTGGCATCGCCGGGGCGTTGGCGGAAGCCCCCGGGGCCCGGGAGGGGGCAGGCCCAGGCGGGGCCGCCGAATCTCGGGCTCCTGTTTCCCCGCAGGGTGCTGGAGGAGGAAACCGGCGGAGCAGCTTCCCCACTCTCAGTTGCGCGTCTGGCGATGGCGATCAGAGGTGCTGCTGCGCTCTCCGCTGGGCACTCCCTCCATTAGCCGCGCCGCGCCGTGCTGCGCCGTAGCTGGTGCCTCTCTCCCGGGTCACGGGATCGGCCTCCCTTCCAGGCACGACCCCCTCCCCCGGCCCCTCGGCCTTTCCCCCCACTCCGCCATCTCCGACCCGGGGCGCGCGTTCCCCCCGGCCCGGCTCCCTCTCTCCCTCTGGGGGCACCCGCTCCCTAGCCCCGGCCCGGCCCTCCCCGCAGCGCAGCACGGAGTCTCGGCGTCCCATGGCGCAACCCACGGCCTCGGCCCAGAAGCTGGTGCGGCCGATCCGCGCCGTGTGCCGCATCCTGCAGATCCCGGAGCCCGACCCCTCCAACCTGCGGCCCTAGAGCGCCCCCGCCGCCCCGGGGGAAAGAGAGAGCCAGCGCGCTGAGCAGAGAGCGGGAGAACGAACGAGTTCTCGCCCGCCGGCCGGGAGGCCCCGGAACCAGCCCATGGGGAGAGGGCACCCGGCGTCGGCCACAAAGACCGCCGCCGCCCGCGCCGCGCCCGGCGCGTGAAGCCCAGGTAAGGGCCGAGAGGGGCGCCGGGCGCTCGCCTTCTGGGGACGCCCATAGCAGGGCATTTCTGAGCCGAGCCCGCGCCGCACGCAGGGAATGAGCTCCCCTTGCTCCTCTGGGCTTGGCCACACCTCTGAAAGTTAGGATGCCCGACGGGGCTGGATCGCGTCGGAGCGGTGGCCCCAGAAAACCCGAGCGCCCTGTGTCACGGCTCTCTGGGCTCCCTCCCCTCCTTCCTGGAGCTTCCCCCAGTGGGCAGACGTGGCCGTGCTGGGAGAGCGCCGGGGCTCTGGTGCCACCTGTCATCCTGCTTCTTTGCACGCACGTTCAATTTTCCCTCCTTTGCCTCTCTCTGGGCCCCAGCCCGCTTTCCCCGCCTCCTTCCCTCCCCTCGGCCAGGCTGCAGTTACCAGCGTCCACCGGCCGCCCTAGCACTGTCGGCTGGACTGGGGCATCTTGACCCATCCCGGCTGAGGCCTAGATCTAACTCCCCTCCCCTGTGCCGGCTCACTCCTTCCCTTGGGGGCAGTGGTGGAGATCCCAGCCCCCAGCAGTTGTCCTGGGCTCTGCCTCAGAGGCCAAGAAACTGTACAGCACCTGGAAGAGGCAGACTCGGGGCTGCCCAGGTGTAGGGAGAGATTCCAGCCAGCCGCCCTGCTCTCCCCCGTGACTCCAGCCTACCCTATCTGCACTTCCCACCCAAACAAGCCTAGGTGGGGCTGAGGGCTGGGGGTGGGGAAGCAGCACCCCCAGAACCACAGACTGCAGCGCAGGGAAGAGGCTTCTGAGACTGCCCATTTCCCAGCCCTATTTTACACAAGGGCACCAGAGGAGTGACGTGACTTGCCCAAGGTCACACAGCAGGTCACTGGATCAGGGCCAGGATCCAAGCTTCTCGTCTCCCAGTGCAGTGCCTTCCACGGAGCTCTTCTTTTGGGTTCTTGCCCTCTGTCCTTCCGCATGGCTCATGACCAGTTCCAGGCTCGACGAGGCCAGGACATGCCATCCTAGAATCAGCAGTCTCTGCTGAGGGGCTCTGGCCCAGGTGGGCTGTCAAGTTCCAGGCATTCAGGGGAAGGGATGACCTCCCACACTGGAACATCCCACTCAGGCGGGTCGTTCGAGTCTCCTGTAGCAGGCAACGTGGAGCCCAGCTGTAGGTTGGCACTTGTCTTACTGGTTTGGGGTGCCTTGGTGCTGCCAGGGCGGTGCCCACTCTGTACCAGGCGGTAGGGTGCTTGAGGCATGTGTCTAAGCAGCTCACGCCTCGGTGGTTATGCTCCAGGGACTCCCTCTGGGAGAGCCCCATGAGGGCAGGAGAGTGATGGAGAGTACGCCCAGCTTCCTGAAGGACAGCCCAGCCTGGGAGAAGACAGCCCCTGAGAATGGCATCATGGGACCAGAGCCGGATACCCCACCGCAAGATGGCCTGAGCCCTGCAGCACTGTGCCTGGGAGAGCCTGCTCCCTTCTGGAGGGGTGTCCTGAGCACCCCAGACTCCTGGCTCCCCCCTGGCTTCCCCCAGATCCCCAAGGACATGCTCCCATTGGTGGAGGGCAAAGGTTCCCGGAACGGGGAGAGGAAGGCTAGCTGGTCAGGCAGCAAGGGGGCGCTGCGCTGGAAGGAGGCTATGCTTACCCATCCGCTGGCGTTCCGTGGGTCAGCGTGCCCGCCTTGCTACGGCCCACTGATTCCTGAGCATAACGGTGGCCCTCCCAAGAGTGACCCTGTGGCCTTCCGACCCTTTCACTGCCCCTTTCTTCTGGAGACCAAGATCCTTGAGCAAGCTCCCTTCTGGGTGCCCAGCTGCCTGCCACCCTACCTAGTGTCCAGCCTGCCCGCAGAGCGTCCATGTGACTGGCCCCTGACCCCGCACCCCTGGGGGTGTTCCGGAGTCCAGCCCAAAGTGCCCTCTGCCTTCGGATTAGGCAGCAAGGTGAGTGTTGGAGCAGAGAGGGTACCTGGGGGCCATGCAGCGGGGCTCAGTGGCCCCTGAGCAACCCTGCCGGGGCCAAACCACTCTGCCCTTCCATTCGGATGAAAAGATAAGGTGGTACCCAGGCAGAGGAGGAGCCTGTCAGCTCAGACATAGTCAACCCCAAGCAATTCCTCTTCTGAGCAAACCCATTTCATTAGGCCTCACCTGCCTTTGGGCCATTTCAGGAATTGACTCATGCATTGTCCACCCAGAACAAGGCCCTGGGAACTGGGGCCTCAGAATGTGTGGT